AGAGAAGCGATACAGATGGAGAATCTTCTGTGCTCTTAAATATTGAAACTCAAAAATGAGACATCCAAAGGGTCATAAAACAGAATATAAGAAAGGGAGCTAAAATCTAAGAAAGCTTGCAAAATAATTTATAAATGCAATATTCTTAGTATGTTCGCATTAGCCAAGGTCATAATCCTTGGGAATAAATATCGATGAAAAGCATTCCTAAGTAGCATAATCTTTGCGATTACGTCTCCTCTGAATTTCACATAGCTTGCTTGTCCAAAGTGTATTCTCATCCAGGGTTGACTGTAATTTCGACCTCACCTGTGTCTTATCAAAGTTCCAGTAGGTTTAAAACCATAAAGATGCAGCGTATGCTCTTTAAACATCTCATATATATGATATACTAATACCTAAGCGAGGTCTGAACTACAGTCCACCCTGTATGAGAATACCCCTTGGAATAGCAAGCCTATGTGGAATTCAATGAAAAGGTTAAATTTGCTCATATTATTGTGGGAAAATTCAACTTTCAATACTTCATCGCCTTGAGCCTACTAGGGTGAACACATCTCATATTTATGCTTTACTGGTAGTATCGAAAACCTAATACAAACGTTAAATATGGGGCCTATGAATAAATTCTGGTAAGTGAATACAATCCTTAATAATGTCAAGTCATACTTATAGTTTAATAATCAAGGGAAGGATTACCTGTTTCCGCTCTTTTTTCTTTAAGTTTAGGAAGTGGAAACTAATGTCTCTTTATCTACAATGCCTTAATTCTACAAAATTAATAAAGTATTTATATCTGAAGAGGTTTATAAACACGCGTAATTTATATGCATTTTTCTTATTTCATTTAAAGTTTAGTCTAGCATCTCGAGCATAGGTAAGCGTCATAGCAAAAATCGTCTATGCACATTTTAAAGAAGCTTTAAAATGAATGCACTCTTCACTAAATGTATACTGATATCTGTATGTTTTTATAAGCGCATTCTGCTAGGCCATTTGGTTGGCAAAGTAATTAATGTAGGATGCTTTAAAATTACGCATGAAAAATAGCACCAAAGATAGAATAGTTTTTTCGTTTCAAGCTTAGTTGCTTGGAATTTATTTGATAAATAATAAACGTGTCTGTCTTGTACGATATATGGTAGTGCTCCTTGCAGGTGCCTTATATTCCAATACTCAGAAAAATCAACCTATTCTAATGCAATGAAATACTTTTATTAGAACTAATATTTTGCTTGAACATGTAGTATATTTATAATTTGTCTCTTTTTTTTGTCCAGTAATTAAATTAATTATTTGCTACATATAGGTATGTATTTCAACTTCATTTTCTAATGTATGCGATAAGTATCTTTTCTTTTGATTTTTTAATAAATTAAAAGGATAAAATCCAAACACTTTTTTAATTTATAGGTTATTGCAATAGCTTTCTGAATCCAGTCATTTATGCAAAGTTTAATCGTGAGTTCCGAACTCCATTTAGACAAATACTGCTTTGTCATTGCCGCAGCATAAATGCACGTTTACGCTCCGAAACCTATGCTGCCCAGTTTGGACTTCCTAGTTCTGCCGGCTGCCGAAGACGTCGAACAGAAACTTCTCTTGGCAAGCTACGTACATCAGAAATCATTTATGAAAAATCTGAGAGTAAAGCAAGTATGGAAAAATAGTTAAATTTTACAGAAGGGAAAGACCAGCAAAGAAATTCATCATAATTTCATAAATATTTCAGGAAAGATTAGGCATATGTGTCGAGTATTTTACTTTAAGTAACTTACCAAAAGTTACAAATAATCTAAAAATCTCCACTTTATATAATATGAGAAGAAGATATTAAAAACTCTTTATTGCTTTCAAGATATCTATGTGAATACTAGCAAAATACTATTTGTATGCAAAAATGTTAATGAATTGCAAATTAAATTCTGCTTGCTTAAGGGGCCCAATTCTTCATCTCGGTGCATATGCTCATTTTTTAAAAACAGACAAATGAATTTTGTATAAAACCATTTATGTGACTATATCCCTGCCAATATTTGACAGTTGATTCTAGAATGCTTAGGTTCGTTAGGTCTTTACTACACGTTTTTTCATCGGGTTTTGACGCGAACTCCATGCTTGTAGAATATTTACTGGTTATTACATATATCTTTTAATACATAGCAAATGTAAAGTCGAGGCATACCACATTTTTCAAACTAATATAACCTATTGTCACACACGTACTTGTATATTATGAAAAGGTTGAAGAACTGTACAGATAATTCACCGATATATTGGTATAAAGGATTATAATTATAAAACCATCAATTAAAATCAATATTAATATTAGAAGAATGCTAAATATTCTTATATTATGGGGGCAAACATATTTCGGGTTATTTTCTGGCGCTAATAAATATTTTAAAATATTGAAACCACTGCATGAATTGGCTGAAAGAAAATAATTTAATCAAAATATGTCTTTTTTATTTACATTTGTCATAATATGGGGGTACAATAATCTAGCTAGACTCCTAATTATGCAGGTTGCTTGAATTGAATATTAAGATATATACATATATATATATATATATATCCATATATAAAGCTATACCTTTAAAGGCTATCAACTGCTTTTCTAAGTTATTTTTTCTTCAATACGGAAAACTCTAACCTATATGAGTTTGTTAGGTCGGTTTAGAACCGCAATTTTGAAAGTAACATATCTCATTTACTTTACGTAAGAATGTAAGCAAACATAAAAACTTAGACCATAAAGTGCAAATTTTAATTTTTTCAGAAAGCGTTATTAATTACTGCAAAAACATGCTCAAGCAAGACAAAAGATTGACTTTTTCCAAGCTCTATGTGGATTAATTACATTTTACCTAATATAATGTCTAATACTGATGCAAAATTAGCTCATTCTGATCGAGCTGAGATTCCATTACAAATGAAGTTTTATCTCACAGACTGAAAGGCTGGCCACTAATACCTAAATAATAAGTTATTCAAGCCTATTGTAACTTGATTTTAAAACAGGGCTTAATTTTTCTACTCTACTAAAAGCAAATGTTATTTTATAATTTCTTATAAGTAACACAATACAAGGTGACTGGAAATTTTTATCCAGAGTTCAGAATTAAATGCATCATGTCCGATCTTCTGTATCGTAAAATATTGCAAAATAAAGTTAATATAACCTGTTAATAAATGGTTTAGTTGCCATAAGCCCTAAATTTGATTTTCAGCAAAGCTTCTATGCAAACGACTTAATTGGTTTAGAGAAATGATACTTCCAAGTGAATACAAACTTTGCTTTGTAAAAGGTTACTAGTAAATTTACAAACGAATGTTATCTTGCTCATTTGTATAATAATCTAGTCAAGCAAAAATAGACTTTAATTCTAGAATACAATTAGTTTTAATTTCTAAATTACTATTTAGAAACCTATGAGTGCTATTTATATAACTTTGATTGTACATTCAGTTCGGAATATATCTAGCTCTATTTAATACTAGTAAAGTTTAGACCGTCAACCCTAGTGACAATAAATGAAAAATATATCTGAAACAGGGCTAAATACTTGCGATATCTTCAGTATTTTTGACGTACAGCATTATAATATAATCAAATTTCTTGACTACTTGATTTTTGTCTTCTTATATAAAATAACAATGGAATTCTGGAAATCTTCATACAATCTCCTCAATACAACTACTTTTAAAGAAAGATTTTCTTTAATGAACCCAAATGTATAATATTACTAAAAACATTTAAATAGAGTTTGCGATACCGGAGAATAATTAGCGAGTCGTATATATTCGTATGGATTTCATGATAGTTTCGAAACTTACACTATTATAATATAAGTAATGTACGTGATCATAATGATAATAAACATGGATAGGCCTGGCCTTCCTTGAAATTCACGTCTGACCTACGATCCAGGGGCGTTTGTCGCAGTGCATTTCGAGGTAAAGTATTGAGATTATAGGCTGCTCTACTCTGGTGTTGCTGATGAAATCCAGGCGGGGTCGAAACTGCAGTCCATCCTAAAACCAGTTGAGAACTAATGCTATGTGGAATTCAATAAGAATGAGAGGCCTGCTCATACCATTGTGTAAAAATTCAAATAGGTATG